GTGTGCTGGCGCCGCAAGGTGGAGGATTAGCCTATTGAGCCACGGCGCCGGCCAAGACTCCACATTTCTAATTTTGGGTTGGCTTATCAAATGGGTTTGACAGAGTTCAACAGGTGCTTCTGGCGAAGGTCTGGGGAAAGCTACAGGTGATTGATTATATGCCACTGATTGGCATCCAAATTCCTCTATCCTTGTGTGTTCAGAGGTCACTTCTGTTTTCTTCTGAGGAAAATTTACAGTAATAATAAAAACACCTTTCAACTACAAGGTACCACCTCATACCCATTAAGATGGCTACAATCAAAAAATTAGAAAATAACAAGCACTGGCAAGTTTGTGCAGAAATTGGAATGCTCAGGCATTGTTGGTAGAAATATAAAATGGTACAGTCACTGTGGTTCCTTAAACAAAAAATAGAATTACCATATGATACAGCAGTTCCACTTCTGAGTATATTTGTATACATAAAAAAATAGAAAACAGGGTCTTGAAGAGATATTTGTACAGCATGTTAATAGCATTATTCATAATGGCTGAAATCTGGAAGCAATCCAAGTGTTCATCAATGGACGGATGGATAAGCAATATGTGGTGTATGTAAACATTAGCCTTAAAAAGGAAAGAGTTTAACATCTGCTACAAATAGATGAATTTTGAAGACATTATGCTAAGTGAAATAAACTAGTCACACAAACAGTGTATGAATCCACTATATGTGGTCCTTAGAGTTGTCAGAATCATAGAGACAGGAAGGAGAATGGTAGCTGCCAAGAGCTGGAAAGGAGGGGGAATTGGGGGAGTTTTGTTTAATGGGTACAGCGTTTAAGTTTACAAGATAAAAAGTTCTGGAGATAGCTAGTGGTGATGGTTGCACATTATGAATGTATTTAACACCACTGAAAACTGTCCTTAAAAATGATTAAAATGGTGAATTTTATGCTATGCATCTTAACACAATAAAAATTAAAAAAAAAAAACACCATTTGACATCCTTAAACTTCTTCCACTTGACTGAAAATCTGTGAGGTAAGTTCTACTTCAGAGCTTGAGGAAAATGTTCTTTCCAGTCATATACCCTCTTCCACTAAAACGTATTAATTCTACTACATATCATACTACCCATCTCATTATTATTACATTACTTTCACATTATGAATTGTGAAACATTTCATTTAATATGGCACGGGACTTTTTTTTGTCTCTTCCTTATTATTTTATGCTCAGTGCCTAGAGCAATGTATGACATATGGTAGGCATCCCATAAATATTTGTTGAATAAGTGAGCAAATTAAAAACAGTGTCTTCTTTTAAAGCAGTGCTAGGTTTCTGGTGTCTTAGATTTACTTTGATGTTTCTTTTTTGGCGGAGAGTAAGCAAACATCTAGACAAACATGAGCTTGGCTAGGCCACCGAAAACTGATTGCTTCTCCGTGACTCAATTGAGCCTATGCTCTTTCTTAGGCATCTGAAGTCTGGTTGTAGTTGGCTCAAGAATATGTGTGCTCATTGTGTACAGAGGGATTTTTATCTTTAGTCGTAAAACCTCAAATGGCATCTCCTCTTTTTGTTTTAGGATCAGGAGCCAAACCATGTTAAAGACTAGAAAAAATGAGCAATGCTTAACATCTGATGGCAAAAGAGTTTATAATTGGGACAAATAAAAAAAGTTAGTTCGGGGACCACTTTTCCTCCTTTACCTTCCCTGTTCATTGTTGGAGGTGCTCTGCTCGGGTAACAAGTGGAATTTATCAAGGTGGGCCTGACACAGTTCATGATTTCCACTGTGTATAAATTCAGCAATAGGGGGTTATGATTGATAATTTTTCCATTTAGCGTAGGAGAATGTTCCATTTGTCACTTGCAATATTTTCAGTGGCTTTCCTTTGGAAGTGCATTCTGCAGATGGGGTAATAAGATGCATAACAGGCTTGAGGAGAGTGCTGCCAGCAGGAGTTATCCAAACTGTATCCTCTGGGGGCGGAACATAAGCTCATGTCTGCAAGAAATAAAATCCTGGGGTGACTGGGCCTACTGAAATTTCCGCGAACCACATGAGGGGATGGCGTGAAGGAACAGTTGGTGTGATAAAACTTCCATTCTGCTCAGCTGCAGTCGGGACTGATAGATTCTTTCTGTCAGACTGTGATCAGGAGCTGTATCTGTTTTGCAGCAGGCCTTAGAAAGGTAAACGGACAAAATGGACAAGCGAAAGGTGGTCATTGAAAGCCTGTTCATAAGCCCAGTAACAATGCAATTCTAAGAATTATAATTCAACCCATTACAGTTTCACTATCCCTACTAAGACAAAGCCTTCAGGATTTGAATAGCTTAGATGCCTTCAGAAGACAGCAGAGATAATTCTCTGGAATTACCCTAGAAAGCACCAGTAAAGATTTTCCTTGCTATAAAAAGAGGTGTAGGGCAGAGACACACAAAATGATTAGCAGCCAAGTTGAAATTTGTCCATGTTTGTCTATTACTCATGCCCGATATTTAGTAGAGAATTTCACTCCAGTCCACAACAGGCCCATCTTTTTTATTTTTTATTTTTTAAACTTTTATTTAATAAATATAAATTTCCAAAGTACAACTTTTGGATTACAGTGGCTTTTCCCCTCCATAACCTCCCTCCCACCCGCAACCATCCCATTTCCCACTCCCTCTCCCATCCCATTCTTCATCAAGATTCATTTTCAATTATCTTTATATACAAAAGATCAATTTAGTATATACTAAGTAAAGATTTCAACAGTTTGCACCCACACAGAAACACAAAGTATAAAGTATTATTTGAGTACTAGTTATACTGTTAATTCACAAAGTACAACACATTAAAGACAGAGATCCTACATGGGGAGAAAGTGCACAGTGACTCCCGTTGTTGATTTAACACTTGCCACTCTTATTTATGGCGTCAGTAATCACCCTAGGCTCTTGTCATGAGCTGCCAAGGCTATGGAAGCCTCTTGAGTTCACCAACTCCGATCTTATTTAGACAAGGTCATAGTCAAAGTGGAAGTTCTCTCTTCCCTTCAGAGAAAGGTACCTCCTTCTCCGATGGCCCATTGTTTCCACTGGGATCTCTCTCACAGAGAATTTTCATTTAGGTCATTTTATTTATTTAATTTTTTTTGCTACGGTGTCTTGGCTTTCCACAAACAGGCCCAACATTTTTAAAAACAGACCCAGTTCTTGAGGCATGTTTTTCCTGTGGGATGGCCCAAGAATCTGAATTTCTAAATTTTTGTTGTTTTTAAACATGATAACTTTACATTTAGTGAAGCATACAGTTCCCAAGTGTAAGAATCAATGCAGTTTACATATGGATTGCATTTTATGTGTTCCAGAGAGTCCCTTCATGTCCCTCCCCATCACTATCCCTGCAAAGATAACCACTATTCTAGTTTCCTTCATGATTGATTATTTTTTCATGTACCTGAATCTTTATTTTTAATAAACATCCCCAAGGGATTTGTATGTGCATTGAAATTTGAGAAACACTGACTTGAGGTTTTGAACATAAAGCAAATAGAGATCTTCCATCCAGGCCCTTTAAATAAACAGAGCACAAAATCCATATGTTTTGATTGATCTATAGGGTGGTGATCACAGGTCAATATTTTCAATTTCATCAGGAAAGCCTTGCAAGAAAATAAAATATCGTTTTTTTCTTGGGCTAATATTGAGACCAGATATCAAAGAAGTTCACCTGAAGCCAGACACCTCCACATTCCTACAATCATAAATAGAGCACAATGCTTCCTGGACTCATAGTATACCATCATTTGCATGGGCAGGAAATTCAGACTCTAGTCATATATTTCCCCTGTCAATTGTGTTATATTTTCCTTATGCATGCTAAATCTGTCATTTTCATCCTCGTGGATAAACTTTATGGTTTACTGTACCGTAATTTTAATATCAAATGCAATTTTAGCAGGTTGTAGGAGATGGTACACCTTTCAGTGAATCAAAATAAAGCTGTAAATATTAAAATAGGGATGCCCCATATCCATTTTTGTGGTTTAGGAAATTTTATTTTTGGTTGAATAAAGGAAATAATATTTTGTTCTACTTTGGCCATTTTTTCTCTCCCTTTAGCAATATGTTATAACACCATATGACTCCTCCAGAACTCTTGCCTTCTGAACCAATTTTTTATAACCTGCTTACCACATAATCTATTCCTCTCTTCTCAACTAACAGTTGATAGAGAGATAGATTCCCAGCTAGATGGACAGGGATCATGGGCCCCTCCCAACCATCTGGAGATGTGTCTTAGAGGACTTGAGAAAAGTCAAGCAATTGGCTTCCATGAAGGACTTATGTGATTAGACACTTTCTGCAGCCTCCTGCTAATGCAGACCACGGGAGGATGCAACAGTAATGCTCAAGTGATTGGGTTCCTGCTGCTCGTATGGGAGACCCAGAGTGAGTTTCTGTTTTCCAGCTCCAGCCCCACTGAAGGTACTTGTGAGCATTTGAGGAATAAGACAGCAGATGGAATCAATCAAAACCATTACTCCTCAGCTCTCTCCTAGACCAGTCACGAGAACTTCCCCTTCTACAGCCTATCGAAACCATTAGACAATCAATCCTCAATCAGGGATTCCTTGCCACACTGCAGGGAGCTTCCTCTTCTGCTTTCACTTTCTCTTTTAACTTAATAAACTACTTCTGCTTTACATACTTTTCCTTATTTGTGTCCTAATTCTTTGTGGTCATGAGACACTAAGCTTAGTGATTACAACTGCAGACTCCTGCAAGAGTAGGACTATTTGATGTATTCACATCTTTCCTGGAAGTTCTGAAAGCATCCATCTAAATCAGCATTTTTATAATCAAATAGATTTTTGAACAGGGCTACACTAAGTATCTATCATTGCTCATAGTGGTGGCAATGGACCCAGTCACTCCCAGGAATGTCTTCGGGGTCATTGTGTTTGATAGTGTACATTAGTATCTATAAGTGATTATCCAAATATTTTCATCTCCTGCAGTCCTTGTCACCATTTTTCTACAAAAAAGGCACAGCATCCCTGTTTATCAGTGGTCAGAGTTAAGAAGAATCATCCAATCATCTCCAAGAAGAGTTCATGCCCACCCTGACTGATTCCAACAGTCCTTATGATACAAGTAAGTGCTTTAAGTCAAACCATGGAATCTGGGCTATGATATTGAGAGAGACTGAAAATTTGCACTGACAATTTGCATTTCATTTTTACCAAATAAATCCTTTGAAACAAAACTTCAACTTACATGTGTGGAATTACTAACACTGAAACTCCATATTACATACATACATATATATATATGGGGATTCCCATCTTATATATCCTTCTGAAAAATATAATTTATATCATAATATGCAAAGTGAACTTACTTTGCTGTTAAATATGCCAATTTTAGTGCAATAGCACAAAGCTGAGAAAAGTTAGTATCAACAACTATCCCAGAAACTAAAACTGACATATTTTCAAATGTAAAAATAATTCAAGTATACTGTAGAAATACAGGGAATGTAGAAAAGTTGAGAGTCCAGCGCTATGGCATAGAAGGTTAAGCCTCTGCCTGCCATGCTGGCATCCCATGTTGGTGCTGGTTCAGATCCCAGATGCTCCACTTCCAATCTAGCTCCCTGCTAATGTACCTGGGGAAGCAGCAGAGGATGGCCCTTGTACCTATATGTGAGACTGGGAGGAAGCTCCTGGCTCCTGGCTTTGGCCTGGCCCAGCCCCACTGTTGCAACCATTTGGGAAGTGAACCAGTGGATGGAAAATTCTCTCTCTCTCCCTCTCTCCCTCTCTCTCTCTCCCTCTCCTCTTCCCTCTCCCTCTCCCCCTTTTCTCTCTGTATCTCTTTCAAATAAATACATAAATCTTTTAAAAAAGTTTTTTGAAAGAAGGAAAACACTCATATCCATCATCACCAATGGACAGCAGCCATTGCACCTGGGATGCATTTCTTTCTAGGCTCTCCCTCCCTAGATGAAAATCTTGAAATGCAATTTTTACCTGGTAATAATCAACTTGTAATCTATTGATTTCATCTGCTATCTTATCAAGATAGTCTCTATTTGACTGATACACTTCATGAACACTATTTTTTAAATAATTACATATTTAACTGTGTTCATATGAAATCGTTGAGTTTACCATTTTTCTCCCCAAAAGCCTGGCAGCCTGGTACAAAGTTGTAGCTTGATACAAATTGCTTACTGCTTTACATAAAGTTGTGATGAATGTGTTTTTTTCACAAAGCTTTTTTTTAACTCAGGTGAATACCCTGAAACATTAATGCAAATTAAAAGGAAGTATCTTAAGAATACATACTACCATTTCCTCCCACCAAAGAGTTATATCAAATAACATGCATGAGCAATGCATCCTTTCTATTTCTAGTATTGGTTCAACCTTTACAATCCAAACCTAGCATGCTCCTGTCTAGAATCCTTACACATGAAATTGGCTACACCCTCCTCAATGTCCAGGCTCATGTAACACAGAAACTGTGTGGAGAAAAATAAAGGAGAGAAGGAAGAATGTATGGAATGAAGGAAAGAAACACAGGGAAAGGAGTAAGGGGTGCAGGGGGAGTACAGGATGCAGGGATGCGGGAAGGGTGGGCATTGACAAAGGAAACTGCATCTGAAAAGTTTCCCTGGTGCAAAGGAGGGAGTTGACATAGCGTGATTCTTTTCAACTGCCTTCTTCCAGTTCAGGACCAGGGACTTGTCATAAAACAGGTTCCGTATTCTCACCTTCAAAAGTAGCACTCTTCTGTTCTTAATCCTAAATTTATGAAAACAGAAGCAGACATAACATTGTCCTCATTCTCCTTCTGCCAGGTTCCCTGAGTTTTCACACACATCATCGTTGATTCTCCAGTCACTTATTATGCAGTAGGGAACATGATCCCAAATCTACAAATAAAAACAAGAAACACAGAAGAGTTGACTTCTCCTGTGCCAACCAGTAAAAGGTAGGGTCATGTTTCATGTCTTGGTCTGGGGACTCTGAGTTTATTCCGTTCCTAAGTTTCTATGGCTTCTTGATTTCTGCTCACCTATTGGATTTCTTGTGCTGGCATCACCCTGACATGCTTGGATTTCTGCCTGGGCTTTGCCTGTCTAGTCAGGGCTTCTTGCCTGGTTCCTTCAAATTGCTACTGCCCACATCTTGATCTGTCAATCTGCAAACTTTGTACTATTGAATACTGTGTTCCAAAACTTCCTTTTAGTATCTTTTAAACAATGAGAAGACTTTATTAGAATGTCTAGTGGAGATATTTCCCCTGAAATGTAGCCTTAGGCTTTCTGTTAATTTGCAAGTTTGACCTATTCCTCTACGAATGGTGTCTCATGTGTGCTTACATCATGCTGAGTCCTGAAGAGCAGCTGTTTATTGATGCCTTATAAACTCCCACACAGATCTAATTGCTGTATCACTGGGATCAGGGAAGACTGCTAATTGCTCACCATCTTCATTATCCTCATCTTCCTGGGCCATCAGTTAGGTTCACATTTCTGTATGACTAAGTTCTGGCCATTGAATGTGCATGAAAGTCTTGTGTGCTACTTCCAGGTCTGGAAAAGTCTTGTATATGCAATTAACACTTTTTAGGCATTTTCCTTTTTCTGGCTTGAAGTAAACCTTTGAAGCCACTTGATAAAGATGGCAAAGCTCTAGATAGAAAGAACTGGAGTTCCCGAATCAGTGCTTTGAAAGACAGCCAAGGGGCCAAAGTTGTGGCATAGCAGGTTAAGCTTCTTTCTGCCTGCGGTGCTGGCATTACACATGGGCACCAGTTTGAGTACTGGCTGCTCCACTTCCAGTCCAGCTCCCTGCTAATATGCCTGGGAAACAGTGGAAGATGGCCCAAGTGCTTGGGTCCCTGCACGCATGTGGAAGACCCAGAAGTGCCTGGCTCCTAACTTCAGTCTGGCCCAGCCCTGGCTGAGGCAGCCATTTGGGGAGTGAACCAGCAGATGAAAGCTTTCCTCTTTGTCTCTGCCTCTCCCTCTCTCTCTAACTCTACCTTTCAAATAAATAAAATAAATCTTGAAAAGAAAGCAAGCAAGCAAGCTAGATTTCAACATGGAAGTCGCATTTTGGACTTTATTTAAACAAGAAATTCTATTTTGTTTGTTCCACTATATATTTTGTGATTTATATGTTTCACCAATTAGCCTATTCTAGCTAGTATAACCATGAATATACCTGCATAAGAATATTGATAATTAAGGAGCACCTCTTTGTTGTCATGGTTCGAATTTATCACAGAATTAGAGACATTCTTTTTTTTTTAAAGATTTGTTTATTTATTTGAAAGAGTTAGAGAGAAGGAGGGGCAAAAAGAGATCTTCCATCCACTGGGTCACTCCCTAAATGGCTGCAAGACCAGGGCTGGGCTAGGCCAAGTCCAGGAGCCAGGATCTTCATCCAGGTCTCTTACATGGGTGGCAGGGGACCAAGCACTTAGGCTACCTTCCACTGTTCTCTCAGGCGCATTAGCAGAGAGCTGGCTTGAAAGTGGGGCCTCTGGGACACGAGTGGGCTCTCATATTGCCTGCTGGTGACATAGGCACAGCTTTACCAACTATGACACAACACCAGCCCCAAGACATTAGATTTTAAATGGAGTTTTCAAAGTGTTTGCATATGTGAATATGTGTATTTGTCTGGGTGTGTATGTGCATGACAGAAATACTTTTTAGGAAAAAGGAACACCTCTGTAAGCTTCTAGTCTACAAAACAGAGCCTGGATGGTCCTGCAACTCCCTGCTACTGTAACTGCCTGCAGCAGGGGTCATGAGCTAACGTGTCACTCTTCAGGCTGTCGGAGATGTGATGAAGGATTAGTTAAGAGCCTCTGATGACTTAGGAATCATGTGCAGGATTTGTGAGGATGTCAGAAGTATAAAAAATTTGCTGTGTGCAAATCAAGCAGAATCAAAGTTTGGAGGTCCATGAACAGGAATAAGGAAGTCAGAGGAAGAGTTTATTTTAGATAGAAGACAATGCCTTCCATTCTGGTGCTGTTGATATTGGGCCAGCTGTCACTCTTCTTCCAACAGGTAAGTAAATGTCCCCTCTTCCCTGCCCTTAGGCCCATCCATGTTCTGCTCCCTGTCCTCACCAAAAATTCCTCCACCTCTGCTTTTGAAAGGGGTTTGGTACATCATTGACTTTTCCTATATGAATTTCCAAGTGTGAATATCCTTTGGAGATGCCTTGCCAGAAACTAGAAAAATTTTTAAAAAGAAAAGAGGAAGTATTCATAACCATATTATAGTTACTCACGCTCCCCTCCTCCCTCCATGTACTCGCTCTCTCTCTAAAAAAGAGTTCTAATCAGGTATCTTCCTAATCCTTGGGCTGACGCATAGTCTACACCATTTCTTCTGTTTTAGTTAGTGTGTTATATATTTTGGGTTTTCTTTTACCAGCTAGCCTGCCTTACCAAGAACAACAATGAACTTTTCAAAAAGTTTTATTTATTTACTTATTGATTTGAAAATTTGAGTGGCAAAGCTAGCTAGCTAGCTAGCTAGTTGATAAACAGATTTATAGAGATCTTTCTTCCTCTGTTTTAATCCCCAGATGGCTGCAACAGTCAAGGTGGGCCAGGCCAAAGCCAGGAGCAAGTAGTTCCATCCATGTCTCCCATGTGGGTAGCAGGAACTCAAATACTTGGACCATCATTTGCTGCTTCCCAGGTACATTACCAGGGAGGTGGATTGAAAATGAAGTAGCCAGGACTTAAACCAACACTTTGATAGGGATGTGGCTGTCCCTGACAGCAGCTTAACCCTCTGTGCCACAGCACTTGCCCCACCATGAATGTTTTTGCATAGCAATGTTGCTAACTAAGAAACACTTAGCAAGTTAACTATCAAGAGATATTCCCCAAAGTAAGCTCACCATAACTTCAGCTGAGTTTGGGGAAGAAACAAACCCTCATTACTCCGGATATATGGAAAGTTCACATAAACTGTAATTTTAGTTTCCTATCTTACAGCTCTATATAGTCTTGAGACACCCCAACTCTGAACTTCTTTTCTCTGGCAGCTTTTACCTTTAATCCTCTTCAGCCAACTCATTCCAAGGCCCATATCTTGAGCCACCATCACTTGAAAAGCATTTAACAACCCACTCTGATCATGGCCCTCCTTCTCCCACAAGTATCACTTCATGGCTCCTGATACATTTTATCTTTGCACTCATTGAAGTATAATGGTGCTCTGACTACTTCTCTTCATTCCCCCACTCCAACCCTGACCACTTCCCTTCCCAACTTCCTTCTGATCCAGCCTGAACTTCCTAGCACATTACTTCAACAAATTCTTATCAGAATCAATTCCCTCACTTCTGCTGCAGTCCTGCTAATTGAAAATCTTTGTCAAAACTATCATTTTCTCTCTATGCTGATGTGCCCAGACTCCTCAAAACGAATGCTGGTGTTGGCGCTGTGACAAAGTGGGTGAAACTTCCGCCTGTGGTTCCGGCGTCCCAGATGGGCACCAGTTTGAGTCCCGGTGCTCCTCTTCCAATCCAGCTCTCTGCTATGGCCTGGGAAAGCAGTAGAAGATGGTCCAAGTGCTTGGGCCCCTGCACCTATGTGGGAGACCCGGAAGAAGCTCCTGGTTCCTGGCTTCGGATCAGCTCAGTTCTGGCCATTGTGGCCATTTAGGGAGTGAACCAGTGGATGGAAGACCTTTCTCTCTGTCTTTCCCTCTCTCTGTCTGTAGGTCCACCTCTCAAATAAACAAATAAAATCTTTTTTAAAAAAGACAAAAAAGACATTGCTGAAAATCATGCTAAAAATATACTGCTTCTCACCTCAGCTAAGCTCCTTGGGCCACTGGGGCACCCTTTGGTTCACTGTCTTTCTCATTACATTCAGTGGCTTTTCCTAACTTCCATTCCTCTTTCCAGACATCATATCTCATCCTAATCGCTTCTCCCTCAGCAGGAGATATTTCTTCATAGTTCACCGTGGGGAAAAGCGACACTCCTTTCCCCATAGAGATATTCTTATCTATAATTGTGCCATACTTTACTCATGTCTTGGAGAAAGTGCCTTCTAAGACTGGTCCTTCCATTTGTTCTTTATCCAATCTGATCTCAATTACTCAAGGTCTTAACACTATCAATTATCTCCCTTCTTTCTGCATCAACTTACTCTCAACTAAGTCCTTCCTTCAGCACCATGTAAATATTTTCACATTTCATCTCATATTAGAAAACAACCTACTCTTAACCTATCCCTATTCTTTCATTCTCTATCCCTCATCCTGTCAAGGTTGTTGGTGCTTCCTGTCTCCACATCCTGCTGTTAACCCCTCAACCATTTGCAATTTGTTTCTACTTCAAACTACTTAGACTTCTGAAACGACTATTGCTAAGGTAATTTCAATGGTCTTTATGTTTATAAATTTAAAGACCAGTTTTTCTTTCTTTTACTTGGCCTTCCTGCACTAGTCAATGTTCCTTACCATCTTTACTTCTTTAAATGTCCCCTCCTGGATTCCAGCACAGCATTCTTCCTAGTTTGTCTTACTACTTCTTGATCAGTAGTTCTCAGCCTGCCTTCTGGATTCTTCTTCTTATACATTTTAAAAAGATGTTCACTACTCCAGAACCAGACAAGGATGCCCACTCTCACCATTACTATCCAATGTAGTCCTGGAAGTTTTAACCAGGGACATTAGGCAAGAAAGAAATCAAATTGGAATGAAGTCAAACTACCCCTATTTGCAGATGACATGATTCTATGTATAGGGAAACCAAAAGATCCACTAAAAGACTGTTGGAACTCATAAAATAGTTTGGTAAAGTGTCAGGATATAAAATTAACACACAAAAATCGATAGCCTTTTTGTATACAAACAATGCCATGGCTGAGAAAGAACCTCTAAGATCCATCCCATTCACAATCACTACAAAAATAATTAACAAGATGTTCAAAAACAAAAGAAT